AAAAAATTAATACTAAAAAGTTTTACCTCTTTTAAAATATTTGTAATTTTATCACTTGAGTTATATAATCTTTTTAATACCACATTTGTTTTAGATTTATTATTAATAAATAGATAATAGTTAACCCATATTGCTTTATGAACTTCACTAAAACCACCTTTAGCCAAATATTCAATATTTTTGAATTCATTAAAAGGAATCCATTCAATATAATTATCCTTACATCTATTTATTTTTTTACTTTCATAAAGAAACTTGGCTATTTCTTTATTTCCACAATCAGCCTCTAAGTTTTCAATTTCCTTTTCTTTGCAACCATTGCATAATACAACTTTATTTAATCCAACATCTGTGTTAATTAAAGTTCTATATGATTTTCTAATTAATTTTTTACTTTTTTCTTCCTCATTTTTTTTTAATCTATTTGAAAGTTGATTTAATGCATTAATTGATCTATTCAAATATTTCATAAGATAATCATTATCTTTTATCATTTCTTTCTTATAATCAGTACAATTTTCTATTAATTTTAATGTTCCAAGTAATTCATTTAAAATATTATTAATCCTAATTTGCCTACCAACTTCATCTGGAATTGGTTTACATAATAAGCCATATCTTGGATAAATTGATTCAATCAATAGTTTTAATTCTTTTTCCAATTTAAATTTTTCATCTTTAAATGATACCTGATACTTATTTATCTTTAGAATTTTTTTAAATGATTTCATAAGAGTAAATGTAATCACCCAATTTTGGAAAAATGATTATTTCTTTTTAGATACTTTAGTACCACCATACAATTTATAGTGAATTATCAATACTTACTAGAATAATGATTCTTATAACTTTAGGAAGTTTTCAATTAGGGTTGCTTCTACATAACACAATGGAGGAACAAATTGAATATTAATGAATGATTGAATTCTTTAATAATATTATGAATTGCGACTAAAACTTCTCTTTGAAAGATTTCATTAATTTTTTGATTTTTTTGCAACACATTTGCCAATTGGTTGAAGAGGTTCATTTAATTAATTTATTGGAGTTTTCTTTGGTATTTTTTTTTTGTCTGCCTTCTTCTTTGATACTTGCTTTATTCTCTCTTTAAAGCTAGCCTCCTATCAAGATGCAAGAAGAAGTCAAAGAGGTATTCACCAAGAATCTCTTATATGTAAATAAGTTCATTCCACATATTTTTTACAGATGTGGCATATTGTCTTAAATGGTTTGAGGAAAGCCCAGAAGGAGATTTAGGAAGGTTATTTACATCTGATGTGATGATAGCCTATATGGGATGTTTATATTCTCTATGGTTTCTTGAAGAATTCCTAGAATTACTTTTATTGTAAAAGAAAGATAAAATTTTAATCTTCTAATATTAAGACTTTGAATGAGTCAACAAAATTTGGATATAAACCATTCTTTGGACTGATTAATTTGAATCAATATATACCATCTAATACTAATAAATTAATTCTTTGTTTCAGAGAATCTTGATTGAATTAAATTCGCGTTACAGATTTTTAAAACCTTTGCTTCACATATAAAATTCGTTGAAACATGATTTTAAATATTTTAAATGCAATTTCTTATATGTCACATAGATTGGTTGAATTGAGGTTTGTTTGCCTTATTCTGATTGTATGCACATTTTGAAATTCCAGCTTGATTAGAATTCAGTTTTTGTATCTGGCTCTGTTCAATTTGTTTAGGGCCTTAGTTGGCTCTATCAATGATGTAATCGAAAAAGGCCTTTAATTTAAACAAATTAGGTAAACCCTCTATAAAAAACACATAGAAAAGGTATTAAATATAAACAGTACAAAAAATACAGAATTCCGAATAATATCCATACATATAAAATGTGTGGAATTAAACATATTTCAAAGTACTGAATTCATATGTGAACGGTACTGAAAATTACTAATGGTAAAACATGTTTTAGTTACTATTGCTGAATCCATACTAATACAAAAATCACTAATTGCAAACATAGAAATAAAAATTTTATTTATTTAATTTTTTTAGAAAAATACAAATAAAAATACAAAAAACAGTATGAAATACATGAAGTCTAAATTAAAGCTTAAAAGTCGAATTAAAAGTTGAAATGATTAAAACAACAGAAGAATTAATCAAAAACTTTAGATTACCATAACTCAGTAAATATCCAGCTGTTTTGAATAAAATAACTACCATTTGAATTCTCTCAATGAAGTGAGTCTAATGAATGTAATCCATAAAATTCAAATTACTAATTAGTGAGATATTTTTGTTTGCGTATATCTTACAATAATTCACCGCTATGAACATTAAAACACCATTATTCGAATCTCCTTTATGAGACTATTATAATGAGCTGTGTTTCATTAAAAGTGGATCACTGGTTCTCATGTGATATGGCATAATTTTGTCCATTTCGACTTCATGTATAGTATGAACATGCAAAACAATTCATAATCAAATATAAGATTGTAGTCTTTGCCTCATATATCTGCTAACTCTTTAATTGAAGCTTGATGCTTGAATATATTGGATCATCTAAAATATAACAAGATATAATAAAAATAACGTTATGTAAAGTGACTTTATAAATATTAAATAAAAGATATAAAATATAATCTTTGTATTTGTTGTATGTGAAAATGAAATTATGTGAATTCGCAATTCACATATGTGAAATTCAAATTTACTCCATAATATTTCAATTTCACATACAACATTTTCATTTATAACTTCAAGTATCAAATTTTTGACTAAATTAAATCATCTTAAAAATATAATATCAACAATGCCAGTATGCAATTAATGAAAAAATGATTTAACAAACATTAAATATAAAAATATGATCTTTGTCACATATTTATTCACTAATTACAATGTGCTTTTTGTTTTGGTTCAAATTAAATCAGTGTAAAAATGATTTAATAAATAATTATAAAAATGCAATCTTCGCCACACATTTATTCACCAACTCCAGGTTGCTTCCATGATGAGATGTCAAGTTTTGAATCACTAAAAATACAGGAACAATATGAATATGTAATAATTAAATATGAAAAAAACTTAATACAGTGCGTAATTTAATAAGCAATAGAATCTACCCATACAGGTGAATCTTTTCAATTGAAGGTGAATCCTTCCATATATTAGAAACACATTAAACAATTAGAATAATAAATAAAAAGTAAGTATTAAATATTATACCACTTCTTTGCCTATTTCGAGGAAAGTTAAAATAGCTACTTTCCGCTTTTGCTAATTCCTTGCAAGCTCTACTCTAATTATCTAAACCATATTATATATTAAATATATGACTTATTAATATTATGTAATAATGATAAATGTTTTTAGATTTTTAATAAAATAATATATGTTTTATAATGAATGAAATAAATATATTCCTTATGTGATACCTTTAGTATATTGTTACAAATTCCGTACTTCACATTAAATTTGAAAAGGGGTAATAGTAATTTTTCAAAACCGTATAAGAGACATGTATTAGTATTAGTATTATCACTGTTAATTCTGTATTTTATTCTCATGGGACTTTCTTTTCCCAATCCCGTTTTTCTTTTCATGCATCGCTTCTTAATTTCTTATTCAACTTCCCTGAACAACTTCTTCACAACCTCTCCAGCTTCTTCTCGCATTTATTCAACTTCTATTTTACATCCTCTAATTATTTTCTAATTTCAATAACAATTGCTATTTTTTAAAGTATAAAAGTCTATTTTTTTGACCAATAGTAGTTATATACAACTCTTGGCACATGACTTGGATTTTAGTTTGAAAACAAAAGAAAATTGTTTATTTTAATTCGACTAATAATTTTAAAAGTATAAGTTAAAAATTGTCAGGATTCTTGGATGGGAGGAAAATACTTGGACTGAAAGCCATTATGAGTATTATTTACTATTTAGAAACCTATTACTACTCTTTTGATAATTATTATCAATAATGCTATTATTAATATTGGTATCTTCTTTATCACCAACTTCATTATATTCAATTCGCATCTCTTTTCTTCTTTTCCTTACCAACAACTCACTGTTGGACTGTTTCTAATGTTTTTCAGTTTTCGTTGATCAACGTTTAAAGCTAAAGATTCCAAAAAATTAGGAAATTTTTGATATTGAGGAAAAAAGTTGTTTTGTGACATATTTGGCTCAATCAAAAAAAAAGTTCACAATAAATTTTGCTGTTAATGATTCTGTAGTACACCAAGGAAGGAGATATTTTTTAATAGTAGAGACAACAACTCTTTTCCTCCAAGTAATTCATGAGCCACAATTGCCACTTTACTGAATGAGAAATTTGTATTTAATTCTGTCTTTTGATCAAATAATTGCATGAAATACTTTTGTAGATTTTTGATTTCTTCCAGGTATTTTTTTCACCACTTGGTCTATATTTTTTCCAAGAAAGTATTGAATTAACTATTTTACCAATTTTTCAATTCAATCAATAAGCCCGCAGATAAATTTAGTGGTGAAAGCATGCATTTTTTTATGTTTGAAATATATTTGTGGTTTAATTTTATATTTAGTTTTTGATAGTATTGAAATTGATTAGTTTTTGGGTTTTGTTTTACAATTGTAAAATATTAACAAGAGTTATGGTAATGATTTTTTTTAATGTTGTTAGTGAAAATTTTACAAGTATTTCTTTATTGATTTATAATTTTTTTTTTTTTGCTTTTACTCTTGAAGTTAAATGTTAAATAATTTAACAAAAATGTTAAAAATAAAATCGTTCTAAGAATTTCAGCACATACAACTGACCACCTGACCATAATAATCATTTAGAAGGGCAGTGTAGTGTTTTTTTGTCTTGTTACATTAACTTATTTTTTTTTCTCTATATAGATTTAACACACCACCATAATAAATATTAAATAAGTGTGAAAATGATATATGTATTTTTAAATGTATTTATTACAAATAAAGAAATTTTCACACAATCTGTATAAAATATTTCCCTTTGCAATACTCAGATTGCGACAAAACCACATCAATAAAAATTCCTATTTCGTGAATGGGTGGAAATTCCCGTAATGTGATTCGTTTTCTATTCTCTGTCATATATACTAGATTTGTCTGCTGTAATCTTAAGTGGGAAATTTATATTTTAATACTTTATTTGAGAGCATTCCTTCCTTCAACACTTTAAACATCATGTATTTACAATGTATGCTTACGCTGCCATATTCAACATCTTAGTTACCGGTTATTGTAATAACCATTTTCTTAATTTGTTTATTACTGTTTTGGGAAACTATGCTCCTACAATTTGGAAAAAATGTTTGGATTGTTTGGATATTGATGATTTTTGTCATCTGGAGTGTTAAGGCTCAGGACACAAGTTGTCAGTTGCTCATGTGCACCAAAACCGATAGTACTGTAGCAGTTGCAGTTATCACATCCCTAGGCAATAAACCAAAAGCAGAGTATTTTATCACCAAATGTAATATTGATTGCAACGAGCTATATAATGCACAAAAAATGACTACATACTGGGTTTGGAAGAAGTACTCAGCTGTTAACTATTATTCAGTTGGATACATGAATTTAGTTTGTGATCCTAGTGTGCTAAAAATATCCAAACTGGGGAAAGATCCAAGTTATCCATTCAACAACTAAGATTGCTACAAATATAATCTCTCTCAAATAATTTTGTATGGTAGTAATTTATTCCTTCTCTATTTAATAATTTATTTTTTATTTTATTGAACTTTGACTTTCTTTGTCTTATTATACTATATCAATCCCTTTGCGGTTTACTTTAACGATTTAAGTTTAGGAATTTTAGGCTTTGAATTTTTTTTGACCATGTGTGTATCGGAAAATAAAAATTATATCTATCAGTGTTAGTATGCTATTAACTGCATTGCATGATCTCTGATTTATTATGAATAGTGCACATAAAACCTCCACTCCTTAATTTCGCATTATATCAATAAAACCAACTCTGATGATTAAATTTCGCATATCATAACGATCACTATATAAATCTGATCACAGAATGATTATCTATCAATGTACAGTCTTTTTACTATGTAATTCTACTGCGTGACAAAAAGTCACGTATTCGTGTGATTTTTTTTGTTCTTTATATATTCACTCAAAAATTTTGAATAAAAACACAGGCTTTATAAAGTTATCACCAAACATGCTATCCGAAATAGATTTATTGAAACAACAACACGTCGTCAAGCTTAAGACTGAGAATGCAGAGCTTAGGTCCAAGGACGTGGAGCTTAAACATGAGAATATCAAATTAAACATGTCGTAAAGGAAAATGCCAAGTTTAAAGCCAAAATCGTAAAGTTAGAACGAGCTGTTGG